ATATTCTTGAATTGTAAAATTAATTGAGAAGTCATCGCAATTCGGCACTAAATTTTCATGATTTCATTAAAAAATCAAATAGATTGAGGAATTCTCATCTCAATGTCCTCAAAAAATTTAGAATTCCGTTGAAATTTCCGTGAAATCTGGAATTTGATAATTTGTTCCTCTTTGAATCCCACTCGATGTAATTCCTGAAAATTACTAGTCGACTGTCTATGCAATTTCAATTTTTTTCCAACATCGTGGTGAAACTGAATGAAAATTTTTCGCCAACATTCGCGAGATCATTTTCATTGAAATCCCGATGCTGCGGCTGGTTCTCCAACGAGTGGCAGATCGTTGATGTATGCTTGCACACTGGGTGTCGAGTTACAAACGTGCTCGGTTGGGCTATATGCCTCGCGCTTCTACCCTGGGCTATACCACTGGATTTTATGGACATAAATATACGGAAGAATAAGACGAGACGCGTGCGCGAACGATACATGTGTATAGCAAGCAAGTGGGAGAGCTTCTCGTTAATGAAATGCTAAAAACAAAATTCCGTTTTTTCGATATTTCAATTTTTCAGGGCAAAGTGACAGAGAAAAATGTTCTGAATGTTGGGATACAAATGGATGAAGTCTAGAAACGCATCGGAACATCTATCATTCGTTATATGATAAAAATAGTATTTTTTTATTTTTATCAGATTTTTTTTTCGCGACTTAATGTTGACTGCTTCTCATTTTTATTAATTTTGAAATTGAATCGAGACTATTTTTCTCAATCGATGGGGAAACCAATGCAAGGGCTGACCCTCGCAGCCCTTCATTTTCAATAAATTAACCCAAATATTCAATTCCAAAATTTAGAATTAATAAAAGTTGAAAGAATTCATCAAAATGATTATAATACTACGAGAAAAATCATTTCCAAAAAGTTTTTAAATTTTGAAATCGAATCGAGACTATTTTTTTTTATCGATGGTGAAACCAATGCAAGGGCTGACCCTCGCAGCCCTTCATTTTCAATAAATTAACCCAAATATTTAATTCCAAAATTCAGAATGAATAAACGCTGAAAGAATCAATCAAAATTATCATAATCCTCCGGAAAAAAAAACTAAAAAATGATAGCAATTGAAAGTGACCCAGAATAATCGACAAAATGTCGTATTCCGAGAAATTGAAAAATAATGCACTCATTAAACCCGCCAATATAAAAAAAAATACCATCGGCCACCATGGACAGACCTATTACAACTAGAAGAAGCCAGTGGACCCCACAGCGCCACGGGTTTGCAACTAATCCGGATTAAATGGAATTTCGAAACACCGAAAGCGTTTTAACACGATCGCCTTTAGCATTGCCCTTACGTACCATCTTATTTTTAAAGCCGTAAAAAATATGAGGGCCAAGGAAAATGCCTGCGAGTCGGTGGGGGCCAGTCGACCAGAGGAGGTGATGGTCCAGTGGAAAAACTCCGAAAAAAAAGCAACAGAGGGAGAAAAAAAAAACAGTTGAAGTTTGCAAACATCGGGAGAGTTTTCGAATGTGTACACGGTAGAATGACTCTTGGAGCATTATTTTAGGCCCGAGGAAAGATGTTGCATACCTACCTATCTACTTATAGAATCAGCTGCCACCCAGCAGCCCTCACCTGCCACCCGAAAACGCGATCATTTTCCTTTTGTCTGATATTCCATTAGTCGAAAATTAATCATCAAAATGAATAATAAAAAAATTTCCCCGTTAATTTCCTAATTTTTCAAACTAAACAAAATAATGATCGAGTGTTAGAATTTTTTCTGATGAACTGTGCAACATCCTTGGGTCATAACTGTAAAATTAATTGCGGAATTTATCACATAATCCATTAGAACTGGCCCAGAGCCGCCTATCGAGGGGATAATTTATGCCGAAAATTATCACGGTCAAGTGTGAGATGACAAATTACCGTATATTAGGGAATAGATTTTAAAGTGGGAGGGTAGAGTGGTAACTAGAGACGCCCTTTAACGACGATCTAATAATACTGGGTCTCGCGTTTCTAACGTTCTCAACACGCGTGCCGTCGGCAATCGGATCTCTCTCCTCTCCGTGTTACCCATAATACATTTAAACGTGGCCCCGTGTATACGTGGTAGACCCAAAAATAGATGCGAAATCTCAGAGTATGTTTTACTCCGGAGCGTTCGGGGTTATAACATGGCTATCACTATTTCTACATTTTTAAGATTTTTCGGGAAATTCTTGACATTTTGGGGTGGAATTATGTATTTCTTGTGGAGTAATGGTTTATTTGGGTGGAATAGAGCTATTTTGTCTCTCATTTTTGGACGAAATTGTACTAATTATCAAGTTAAGGATATCCAAGTAGTTTGACTATTTTTTCTCTAGAAAATGCTTTTCTACTTTTGTACACTGATAGAAAATTACGCTTGAAATTTTTAACAATGACAAAGTTACATGAAATTTTTGTAGAATTCTTTATCGACGAATCAGTTAATTTTTTGAATATTCACGGTACTGAAAAACCTTGAAAATTTTGAAAATTCAATTTTCGAAAACCGAATTTTCTTGAATTTTCAAGATAAATAACAATTTTAGTAAATGTTTTCATTTGAAATTGACTTCACACTCACAACATTGAAAATTCAGATGACATTGCAACTAAAATTTCAAGAAATGTTGAACAGTGTAGTCGGACATCAGAGTTTTCATGAAAAGATGATTTTATTATTTAAACTTTGCAAGTCTGAATTTGAATCTCGATATTGAACCGTTAGAAGACATTTTAAAATCTGTAGAAAGTTTACTTTCGGAGGAAGATTGATGAAACAATATAAAAATTGCAACTTTTCTAAAATAAATAAATAATCATAAATAATTTGTAATTATGAATTATAATTATAAATTTATAATTGTGAATCGACTTTTATTTCCCACCTTTTGATAAATGTCGAAATCCCTTTAAAAAATTCATGAATTCATGTATTATTGTAATCAATTATCTAAAGATTGTTGACCCCCAAAAAGGTATCTCTCAAAATAATTAATTAGCCCCATTAAAACACACCGTTGAGTATCCATCGATAAATTAAATCTCACCAACTTGATGATTATCACCGTGTGATTCCGCCGATGGTCCCCCCCCCCATGTTTATCGTCATTCCGTTCAGTCATTCAAACTCCCCGATAGCATCATCTACCCTCCCACATAAAAAAGTCACGATTCACTCATAAAAATTCAATCACCACCAATTTCAAAATTTCCATAACTCAAATAATAATCTGTCTCCATTCGCCCATAAGCGCTAAATAAATTCCCCAAGAATGCAAACAATCTCTCGACAATTCAGAAAAGAATTCTCAAGAAAATTCAGTGCAACTCGAACCCCAATTAATTAATTAATTAACAGACACTGATAAATTTCCAAAACGTCAGATTAAAATAATCGTAAAACCGACCTCATCCCCATAAAAAAGCCCGGTATATTTAATTACAAAATAGAAATTTTGAGTCAGTGGTGGATGTGGGTGACACCTGAGGGTGCATTTTAGCTGCGGGGGGTCACTTCATCGAGTGCACACCGGAGGGGGATAAAAAATTTCTGAAGAAAAATTCTGAGGTAGACGCGTCTCGTAAACTCAATTTAGCTGTACAGACCCTCCACAGTGGATGCAACACACGTTGAAGATGTGAATGTCCCCTCCTGCCTCACCTAGTATCTTTTTTGCCAGCAGGGTTATCGTTAACCGCTTGTTTTACAAGTCGTTTCCAACTCAAGTCGTAGCCCGACACCTTCTGTATTATTTATCATTTTATTTTCTCAATTTTGTTCTTTTTCTTCGATTGTTGAAAATTTTACCGTGAAGCTTCAATCCTTTGGAATTTAGTCGAGAGTAATTTTGTTAAAAACAATGGGAAAATCAGTGCAATGTCTGACTCTCGCGATACTTAATTTTTTTCTCTTCGATATTTACAAATTGAACTATTGGAAAATCAAATGTAACGCTTTTTGAAGCCATTGCCTTCATAAAAATACACTATTATAATATAAAATAATTGTAAATTATATAATTACTAATATAAATAATATTAATATTAATTAATGTTAATATTTATTGATATTGATAATATCAATGACATGAATTAATAATATAACTAATAATTATATAATTTATATTCTTTATCGGCACAAAAAATATTTAGTTGTGAAAAATTGAAAAAAAAAATAGTTGGTCACTTCAATCGCCTCCCAATTCGTTCATACCCATTTTCAAAATAATAAAATTCAGTTTTTGCTGTGAATTTTCAACCATACAAAAGGTTTTCAATAGTACCAGCCAGTAAAAAAAGCATGGAAAAAGCCGCAGATAAAACAGTCAAGTGAAAAAGAAAAAACGATTAAAGCCGTTTTGATTCTTTTTTTTTCCTTTCCCCAATTTTTTGGTGCCACCCGTTGCATCCGGGGGGGCCCATATAATCCGAACGAGGTGTCCACCAGGTATGCCTTATCCCGAGTCAAGATCTACGTAGTAAATTTGTCGTGTAGCCTCTTGGAGCCACACTCAGCATCTTTTATTTTTCCCTTATTTTTCATTCATTTTAATTTTTTCGTCGTCAAGACGCCTTTTATTTCTTTGCCGTTTTTTTGATTAGAATTCTTGACGCATCTCGCGAGACATGTTTATCGCCCCCTCGTGATTATCCGATTTTGCCACCTTTTTCTTTCATTTTTTTTTTTTCCATTTCAACTGAGGGAGAGTTTTTATCGACGAAATAACAAGTGGAGGCAATTTTTCGGCAGGGGTTTATTCTTTATTTCTACGAGCGGGGTTTTATTAATCGTCTGGTGTATAAATTAAATTCCGTACATGGAATTCCTTGTGCGTCGTTGGATTCACGCGTGTGATAAGAGAATAAGAGAATCTGTCGTGTTTTTAATTTAATTTCGAGAGCTAAAGGCCGACTCATAATATTTCTTTACCCCCTTAATTCATGATTCCAGTGGTCAACGGGAGGGAAAAGAGCAAGGAGCTAATCTCTGTGACTCTAGTAGCGAGAGTGGAGACGACACGAAGCGACAATCTGTCAACCAACAGCCACCACCTCAGCCCTCATCGTGTGCTGTACAACAGCAGCAGTCGCAGTCTCAACAAGGGCGAATGGTTGACCACCAGCAATCCCCGAGTATGTATCAGCTACCGGCACCGGTGACAGTGTCATCGCCCCACTCGTATCACCAGAGTCACGGTCACACACCGACACACCATATGCACCACGACACGAGCAGTGAGAGTGGCGATGACAAGAGGAATCTTCATCATCAGTTGCAGCATCATCTTCAAACTACTGGACACAGTGGTCACAGTTTGATACATCCGACTGCTACGTTACCACCACCACCACCGAGTTGTGCACAGCAAAAGAGCCAGCTGGATTATATGCAGTACTATACGCCACAGGTGAGTTGAAATTCCCGAGAGTGAAGGGTTTTAGGGGGCTTTTGAATTCCTTGAGAGAAAACGGGAAACGGATTTTTAGCGAGATTTATGACTGGACCTGAATTTAGGACGGGACCTGAAATTAGGTCTTCACCGGAATTTGCGCGCGAATATCGATTTAGATCTGGACTTGAAATTAATTATGGATATCAAGTTAGATTTAAATTCAGGTCAGAACCGGACCTGAATTTAGGACGGGACCTGAAATTAGGTCTTCACCGGAATTTGTGCGCGAATATCGATTTAGATCTGGACTTGAAATTAATTATGGATATCAAATAAGGCTTCAATTCAGGTTACGACCTGAAGTTAAGTCTGGACTTGAAATTAGGCCTGAGTATGAATTCAGGTCGACAGATGAAATTCGGTTTGGATCGTAAATCAGAATGAGGATCAATTCAGATTTGGCTGTGATACATTGCGTGCGGAAATAAATTCAGATCTGAATTTAAGCCTAAACTTGAAATTAGGTTTCCGAATAAATTCGAGCGAAAGACGAAATTAGGCTTGAACCTGGAATCAAGTTTGGTATAGTTTTACACTCGGACCTGACATTAAGCGTGTTGTCAATTCAAATGCAGACCTGAATTTAAGCCGGAACTTAGAATTAGACCTCGGAATAATTTCAGGTCAAAGAATTAAATTCGGCTTGGATCGGAAATTTAGCTTGGCCATCAGTTCAGATTGGGCCCTGAAATATTGCATGTGGACATGACTTCAGACCTGGATTTAAGCCAGAACTTGAACTTCCGTGTCGGAATAAATGCGAAAAATGAAATTAGGTTTCAACCTGGAATCAAATGTTGATATAGTTTTATATCTGGGCCTGAAATTAAACTTTAGCATAAATTTCAGGTCGAGACCGGAAATTAAGTCTCGCCATAAATTTAACTTAGAATCTGCAATTAGGCCTTGACATAAATTCAGGTCGAAAATAAACTCAAGACTTGAATTAATGTCATTAAAATACACTCAGGTCTGGTCCTAAATTCAGGTCCATAAATGACGCCCGATTTTGCCCCAGTAATCCTGAAAACCAAAATTAAACGCCCCCAAAATCCTCAAAATTAACAAAAAAAAAAAATTTGTCCAACAGGATTACCTGATCGGCACCCCAACATCAGCGGACATTCAAAAATCCCTCCCCCACACAGCGACATCAATGCAAATGGGTGCAATAGCACCAACAATGGGCGGTCTCAGCCCAATGGGACCATCGACAATGCTACCAAATACAATGCAGAGTGTCAACAGTATGAACACAATGTCAATGAATGTTGGTATGGGTATGGGGGCATATCAAGGTATGGGCTCAATGGGCATGACAACACCCCACGCTGGTTACCACAGTGGCTTAGTACTCGGTGATTATCATTCGTTGTGACCCTGGGCTCCGAGTACACCAGGAAAACGTAATCAGGAAAAGACTTAGTTGGCTTTGCGTTTAATTTTCAATACCAAAAATTCTAAATCAGACAAAATCTAACATATAATTGGGAGATTAACTTTTGGAAGAGACATTCAGCATTTCCGTTACTGAAAATATTCTAGATGATAGCATCTCAGGAATTTTCATGGGCTACAAGAAATGTAAATGTCAAAGGCCACTATTTTTAACGACTCATTCATCCTCATTTCGCCCACTGCTTGTCTTTTATTTTATGTAAATATGTAGATACTAGGGGTAAATCATCATTTTGTTGGTTAGATCGGAAGTGAAGAATGCGAGAAGACACGTTTTTCCCCCCCTCTCTAGCTCAGCACAAGCGTCCGTGCATAGTGAAAAGTGCATATATAAAGGTTAATAATCGTAGTAATTATTGATTTAATCTGTAAATAGTTGAGTATACTCGTAAATCCGTTTAATTGTGATTATTACACGGACGATGAGGTTAAAACAGATGATAAGGGGTCCGAGGGACGAAACAGGGTAGACCATATACGATTGGCCAATCCATTTCATTGATTAAAAGTATTCAATTTATAAAAAAAAAATAATAATGCCTGAATTACAATTTTGCCTTTTTGTTTCGATTCACGCACAAACACTTATTTCCTAACGTTAAAATTACACACAACATTCCGATGGGATATCCGATATATCGAGAGTCGAAACAAAGAGTTTTTATCTCCTTCTACTGAAAAAAGTGTAACAAAAACATTAGAATGTAATTTTTTTTTCGACAATTTTTCTGGTTCAATTTGTCGCACAAAAACGTTTAACGAGCCAAATTTCAACTGATGATTTTAGAAAAACTATTCTGTCTTTGCATAAACGACTGAGATGATTTCATTGTAACGAAGGAGAGTGTTCTCAATTCAAAACAAACTAGCGGACAAAAAAAACAGTTTAAGCACAAGTTTTAACGACGATTATTGCTGAATGATGATGTAATGATTGAGCTATATCGAATAAAGTTGATGTTATTTAAAAAAGTGAGGATTATTCAATCTTCCCCCCAGAAAAATCCTAAATCATGAGTCAAATGGGAGTTACGAGGGGCAGCAGGTCAAAATGAAAGGTAATTATTTCAAAACTATCGCTCGAGACTCCTCAATCTGATAATGAAGGGAGAAAAAGAGACGAGCAAAAACCGAGGATAAGGATCTCCGAGGTTGTAAAGGATCCAGGATGAATAGGTAGGTATATGGCCCAGCCCTTAATGATACCAAAACTCGAACGGGGCCCTCGGTACCTCATAAAAGTAGCTCTTTGCAGTGTCTGTCAGGTAATCCAGTTCGATCGAGCGGGCAGGGAGAGGAAGAGAATAATAATAAAAAAAAAAGACGCATCTGGACGCACGCTGCAGACGCGGGTCCCCTTTTGTGTCTACTCCAATTCCGTGTGTCTTATCCATGCCATCATTTTGGGGATTTCAACGAGCGCGGAATGTCTTTATGAGGATGAAAATATTGGGGAATTGTATCAAACGGAAGTTGGATTGACAATGGAGAGCCCGGAACTGGTATTTTTCATTTTGCAGTGGAAAAGCGCTTGAGAAGAAAATCATTTTTTTTCCAGAAAGCACGGAATATCTTTGGAAATGACGGAAATAAAATTAGGTTGAGACGTGAATTTAGGGCCATGTATTTATACTCGGACATGAAGTTAATTCTGGACCCTATATGAGGTGCGAACCTGAAATTATGCCTGGGCATAAATTAATGAATTGATGCCCAGACATCAAATTATGTCTAAACATGAAATCATACTGACATCTAAATTTTGGTGCATGAACAGAATCGACCGTCACTTGGCGAAAAAATTCGATTTTGGCGAAAGTCGACTTTCCCCCCGAAAAAAGCCTAAATATGGCACTTTGGCTCCGGGTGAAAAAAAAAATTTTTTTATTTCTGCATTTCTGGGGCAAGTGAGGGTCTCAGTGGCATTAGGCGGGCCAGAAAATACAGAATCAGCGTTCACCCGGCGGAAAAATTCGATTTTGGCGAAAGTCGACTTTCCCCCCGAAAAAAGCCTAAATATGGCACTTTGGCTCCGGGTGAAAAAAAAAATTTTTTTATTTCTGCATTTCTGGGGCAAGTGAGGGTCTCAGTGGCATTAGGCGGGCCAGAAAATACAGAATCAGCGTTCACCCGGCGGAAAAATTCGATTTTGGCGAAAGTCGACTTTCCCCCCGAAAAAAGCCTAAATATGGCACTTTGGCTTGGGGTGGAAAAAAAAAATTTTTTTATTTCTGCATTTCTGGGGCAAGTGAGGGGCGCAGTGGCATTAGGCGGGCCAGAAAATACAGAATCAGCGTTCACCCGGCGGAAAAATTCGATTTTGGCGAAAGTCGACTTTCCCCCCGAAAAAAGCCTAAATATGGCACTTTGGCTCCGGGTGAAAAAAAAAATTTTTTTATTTCTGCATTTCTGGGGCAAGTGAGGGTCTCAGTGGCATTAGGCGGGCCAGAAAATACAGAATCAGCGTTCACCCGGCGGAAAAATTCGATTTTGGCGAAAGTCGACTTTCCCCCCGAAAAAAGCCTAAATATGGCACTTTGGCTCCGGGTGAAAAAAAAAATTTTTTTATTTCTGCATTTCTGGGGCAAGTGAGGGTCTCAGTGGCATTAGGCGGGCCAGAAAATACAGAATCAGCGTTCACCCGGCGGAAAAATTCGATTTTGGCGAAAGTCGACTTTCCCCCCGAAAAAAGCCTAAATATGGCACTTTGGCTCCGGGTGAAAAAAAAAATTTTTTTATTTCTGCATTTCTGGGGCAAGTGAGGGTCTCAGTGGCATTAGGCGGGCCAGAAAATACAGAATCAGCGTTCACCCGGCGGAAAAATTCGATTTTGGCGAAAGTCGACTTTCCCCCCGAAAAAAGCCTAAATATGGCACTTTGGCTCCGGGTGAAAAAAAAAATTTTTTTATTTCTGCATTTCTGGGGCAAGTGAGGGTCTCAGTGGCATTAGGCGGGCCAGAAAATACAGAATCAGCGTTCACCCGGCGGAAAAATTCGATTTTGGCGAAAGTCGACTTTCCCCCCGAAAAAAGCCTAAATATGGCACTTTGGCTTGGGGTGGAAAAAAAAAATTTTTTTATTTCTGCATTTCTGGGGCAAGTGAGGGGCGCAGTGGCATTAGGCGGGCCAGAAAATACAGAATCAGCGTTCACCCGGCGGAAAAATTCGATTTTGGCGAAAGTCGACTTTCCCCCCGAAAAAAGCCTAAATATGGCACTTTGGCTCCGGGTGAAAAAAAAAATTTTTTTATTTCTGCATTTCTGGGGCAAGTGAGGGTCTCAGTGGCATTAGGCGGGCCAGAAAATACAGAATCAGCGTTCACCCGGCGGAAAAATTCGATTTTGGCGAAAGTCGACTTTCCCCCCGAAAAAAGCCTAAATATGGCACTTTGGCTCCGGGTGAAAAAAAAAATTTTTTTATTTCTGCATTTCTGGGGCAAGTGAGGGTCTCAGTGGCATTAGGCGGGCCAGAAAATACAGAATCAGCGTTCACCCGGCGGAAAAATTCGATTTTGGCGAAAGTCGACTTTCCCCCCGAAAAAAGCCTAAATATGGCACTTTGGCTCCGGGTGAAAAAAAAAATTTTTTTATTTCTGCATTTCTGGGGCAAGTGAGGGTCTCAGTGGCATTAGGCGGGCCAGAAAATACAGAATCAGCGTTCACCCGGCGGAAAAATTCGATTTTGGCGAAAGTCGACTTTCCCCCCGAAAAAAGCCTAAATATGGCACTTTGGCTCCGGGTGAAAAAAAAAATTTTTTTATTTCTGCATTTCTGGGGCAAGTGAGGGTCTCAGTGGCATTAGGCGGGCCAGAAAATACAGAATCAGCGTTCACCCGGCGGAAAAATTCGATTTTGGCGAAAGTCGACTTTCCCCCCGAAAAAAGCCTAAATATGGCACTTTGGCTCCGGGTGAAAAAAAAAATTTTTTTATTTCTGCATTTCTGGGGCAAGTGAGGGTCTCAGTGGCATTAGGCGGGCCAGAAAATACAGAATCAGCGTTCACCCGGCGGAAAAATTCGATTTTGGCGAAAGTCGACTTTCCCCCCGAAAAAAGCCTAAATATGGCACTTTGGCTCCGGGTGAAAAAAAAAATTTTTTTATTTCTGCATTTCTGGGGCAAGTGAGGGTCTCAGTGGCATTAGGCGGGCCAGAAAATACAGAATCAGCGTTCACCCGGCGGAAAAATTCGATTTTGGCGAAAGTCGACTTTCCCCCCGAAAAAAGCCTAAATACGACACTTTGGCTCCGGGTGAAAAAAAAAAATTTTTTATTTCTGCATTTTTGGGGCAAGTGAGGGGCGCAGTGGCATTAGGCGGACCAGAAAATACAGAATCAACGTTCACTCGGCAGAAAAATTCGATTTTGGCGAAAGTCGACTTTCCCCCGGCCTCCGAGGGTTTCATTACCATCAGAAACGTTAATCGATATGAAAATTAAGAAATATGTAATGGAAACTAACTTTCATTTTTGAGGCCTTGTAGAGGGCTCGGATAAGCCTTGGCGTACTGAGCCTCAGTACTCAAAACCTGGACTAGGCCTGAATTGAACCTCGCTAATGGCCCCTTGAATCACCCTCATTTCAGGCTAGAGTGAACGATGAAATCAAGCCTGTCCCAGGCCTGAGTCACTGAGCCTCGCCAAACCTAGGCTCGTACACACTTGTTCCCATCATCATCGTATATAATTCCTACCTGGGTAGAAGAAGGTGTGAACCTGAATTTAAGCCTGGGAATAAATTTTGGTCTCGGTAGAAATTCATGTTTGAATAACTCATGTCAAAACACAAAAACAGGTCGAGACTTAAATTTAGATCTGAATTTATGCTTTGACCTGAACTAAGGCGAACTTGAAATTAAGCCCGATAATAAATTTAGGCTTGGGCATAAATTCAAGTCTGAATAACTCATGCCCAAACAAAAATTCCTGCCTATCCATGAATTTAGATCATGTACCTGAAATTAAGCCTGGACCTGAATTTAATCCCAAATGAAAATCGGGTGCCCGATCGAAATCAGTATTTTTATTTTCATTTTCACGTGTTATATACGTTTTTCGGCTATGGTAGACTTGTTGTGATACAAATGACGGATAAATCTGTTATCGTACCATTTAGTCAAACTGATATTTTCATTACTTCCGATTTAAAACATGCTCTCCTCCATGTAATCCACATTTAATCGTATTTTCCAGTACTCGACTACCTAATCCCCTAGGAATTCATTCCGGTCTTTCGCTTCCCCTGTAAAGAGTTGCTTCTCCTCACTCATGATCCTTTTTTTTATTATTCCTCAGTACGTCTTTCTCATTCACTGAATTTTCTCTACCTTTTTTTTTTCGGCGCACTGCACCAAACAAGTAGTCTTTGTGTGCCCCGTGTCAAGATGCTACTTGACAGCAAACGTCTATGCCCCATCCCGTAAAAAGTAGAGGAGAAAAAAATACGTACAAGAGCCCTCCTCGTTGAAAAATAGAGGATGAGGAATAAAGGGGGCTTAACTTTACGATCTTTCGAAATCCCGCCCGAGGGCGAGGACTCCCCAAATGGAAACGAAATTATAACACGCCGATGAGCATGCGTCGACTGCTCTTATTCCGCCTCGTTGACGGTTGAATAAGTGAGACGAATTATTATTCTAAGAACCTGTCGATACATTTTCCATTTATCATTTTAGGTAGAGGTTCTCGGAAAAATTGACAGGACAGAATGACACTTTTTCTAATGATTTCAAATTATTCTCATTCACATTTGCATTTGTTTTTTGCTTTTGAATGAAAGCATTGTATTCGTCAAATCCAAAATTTTCAATTTTTTGCGTCAGGATCACTAATTTCGGCCTCAGGAGTTCGAATATGCTATTTTTCAACGTTATAACTGAAAAAATATATGTTTAAATGAATTTAATTAGGATTTTAAATATTTTTTTCCCTGTCGTCTTGACTGAGTT